CTGAATAGTTGGGCCGGGACTGGAGTTGGGAAACGCTACAGTGTGTTACTACTTTGCTACTTTGGATTAATGATTTGTTTGACACTTCCAAGACTGCTGTAAGTTATTTTTTGCCAATTTCATCCATGTTGGCCGACAACCACACAACACAACACTGTATGTTCTGTTCAACTGGGCCATCTTTATAGTTGAGCCCTGCTAGTGGATACATGAGCTCTTACAAACACCCTGCTGTCTGATCCTTCTCCAGGTTGGTTTCAGTCTGAGTGAAATGTTACTAACTATTCCCTCCAGCTGTTCTCATTTCTTCTTCACTCTGTTCTTTCTCTGTTTCTCTCTTTCTCTTGTCTTAACCTGCTGCGCTGCCCGCTCCTGTAGACCGTCTCTACCAGCAGCTCGAGAAAAACCGCCTTCTTTCTAACGAGCTAAGAATGGCCTTGAATGACGACTAAAACTAGTGTGGACTTTTTGTTTTGTTTTTGTTACTGATCACCAAACGGTGTCTAAAAATGAATGCTGTTGTGATTGAGAGTTCAAGGAATGTGTTTTTGTAACGAAGTTACACTTTTTGCTGCCTTCAAGTCATGTTGGGAAGATCTTATTTACGAGATTAACACAAAAATTAATGTTATGTCGTATTTTGTGCACAATTGAACACACTCGCTCTACCAGTCAAAATATAATTTTTATGAAAAGTCTCTTATGCTCACCAAAGCTACATTTTGTTTGATCAAAATTACAGTAAATAAAAATATTACAATTTAAAATAACTGTTTTCTATCTGAATATATTTTAAAATGTAATTTATTCCTGTGGTCTATCATGATTTCCACAAAAAAACATTAAGCAGCAAATACTGTTTTCAACATAAAAAAAACGTTCACTAATAATAATTGATAAATATAATGTTTATATTATATAAAATAATTTATTTGCTCTTAATTGTAGAGAAAAAACCTTCATGACTTTGTCATTCATTGAAAGAGAAATTTGACCAGTGCCTTTTAGTGCGACCAAAAGCGTAATTGCAACTTCTGAACTCTTCCCAGAAAAACTTGAAGGCAGCATTTGGATGATGGATGGCTACCACTTTAATCAGGATGTCATCTAATGCCTTTTGCTTTATGCAAGAGTCAGCACTCTTTAACTGCCTGTTAGATATTTATATATTAACACATGTATATCGGTGTATATATATAAAATGTATCTCTGCTATGGTTATTTAAATGAAAGCATGAATTGAGTGTGTAAAGTCTGTTATAGGCAGTGTTGGGGGAACGTATTACTATTAAAAGGTTTGTTTGAGCTGCACCCTCTACTGTACAGGCATGGTTTTACATTTCCTTCAGCCTGAGGCTCATTCATTTCACTTCTGGTGTGAATCATTTGCCAAAAATAGAACTTTTGGGCTTTTTGGTGTTAAAAAAAACCCAACCCAGATGAGGAAAAAGTAGCGCATTCCATTATAAAGTAAGTAATGCAGTAAGTTACTTTTTTTTAGGGATTAACTGAATATTGTAACTTTCCCCAACACTGGTTATAGACAGTGACGCGTACGTTTATGAATGACCCTGCTCAAGGTATCCACTGCATGTTATTCCCTACAGGCCTTGCATTGATATTAACGTGTCTTTCACTTGATGTTCTAACAGAAAAACTCTCACATGCTAAAGAAGAGAACCTCGAAATGAACCAGATGTTGGAACAGACTCTATTGGAGCTGAATAACATGTGAATCCTGGTCACATGATGATGATGTCTGCATTTTGTATTCGTTTTTTTTTTTTTTTTTTTTGTCCTGACAACTATCAGATTGAATAACATGTGCCATTTGTTACAAAAGCTTTAGTTTTCCTTGTATTTTATTTTTTTATGTAATATTATGGTACATGTTCATTTTATTCTGATTGTGCACAAATGAAACAAAGTTAGCAGCAATTGCACTTAATTCAATATATGCACATAACGGTTCTAGTGGACACGGTGGAGTCTGATGCCAAGTTGATTTGAAATTGAAAGGTTTTTCTTTTATAGTGTATGTAGGATTGGGTTGTCCTATGTATACTGGTGCTACTGTGAAGGCGGATATCTAGCAGTGTGTAGCTTATAGAGGTTTATGATTAACTTTATACACTTTCCAATTTGGATATCATTCTCTGTGCCAACATTTAGCCCTAAAGGGACTTATTTACACCAACTTTTTATTTATTTTTGTTTCCTTCCCATTTTGCTTCAGGATGTCAGGCAACATTATTTGCAAACACTCTTGAGTTCGCTTGTGCCGAAAACCATGTGGAAAATATGATGAAATCATATTTGGTTGTGCCTCATTCATTTTAGTCATTTTAAATGTAGATGTATTAAATGTATGCCATACATAAATGTACAAAGCTAAAATAAATAAAACCACTCCGTTTGACATTTTCTAAGCCTGGGGGTCTGTTTGTGAGGCGTTCATGGCTTTAAGTGCTCTTCTGCTCTGAATTCTGTTCTGTTAGCCGTTACTAATTACAGAGCCTTATCTTCTCCCACTCATTATGCCAATAGACTCTGTTTAAAAGTCTGTCGGCTTTTTTTTTTTATATAGGGAAATTGGGTTTTAACACATTTGCATAATTTATGCTTTGTTTAATAATCATTTGAAACTTGGCAAAGTGGCAACTCCAGTAGTAATGAAACGATGTATCTTGAACTCTATGGAAACTATGTATGTATCTAACTTTATTTAAACAATTTAATCAATTAAATAGGAATTTATACCTGTATGATATTGGACCGTATCCAGATTGGACCAGCGGTTTGTAAAATGGGTGGATGGATGATTCAGCTGCAGGTGCCATCTTCTGGGCAGATGCGGGATTTCATTCGGCGTGACCTTCAGTGCATTATGGGTATTCTCTGTCTAGCTGTTTAGTGTACCGTACATTGGTTGTACACTCGTAATTGCAGTGCATTATGGGATTGAATGAGTGCACTCGATAATGTCCACTATGGTTTCTGACATCCCTACAAATTGCTGTCCCTTCAAATAGTGCCCAATTTCAGACACAGCCATGCTGTGAGCTATGAGGTTGGTAATCGATATTTGCTTCTGTTGAATGTGCCAGTAATGAAGTATGTAATTGTTCAACAGCAGAATTCCTGGAGAAAAACTACACTACCCATGATACTGTACAGGAAATCCACCAATCAGAGAGTTGAAACGAGTAAAACACGGCAAAAGATCTCATTAGCTCCGCCCACTCCCATGAACAACTGCAAATGTTTGTATACATATGCATATTTTGTATGTTTAGTAGTTTTAAATTTGTAATGCTTTATGGATAGTTATTTTCCTCACAAAAGCCGGTAGTTCCTCACAGTCTACCTTCGTATTTTTATCAGATTTTCAAAAACGTTTTGTTCAAATAAGTTTATAATTTGTATTCACTTTGTAGCTTGTTGGCTTGATTCATGGCTTAAAACACTTTAAGACTGTTTTTAAAATCGCTATGGGAAAAGGCCGCTGAAAAAAGTGGGAGCAGTAGCACATGCTCTCTATAGCAGAGAGGATGTTGCCTAACAACAAATCAGACTATCTGCTTCCTTGTGTTAAATATCATTTGCTGCTTGTTGCATAAATATACCACTGGAGGATTTGAATTGTATGGTGTTGGCAGTTGGAAGGTGTGGCATGTTACAATGCAGGACGTGAACTAACATAATGGGTTCTGCTTGTTAACAGCATGATTACAAAACCAGACACCTAATGATTAAACGTAGCCTAAATCTTGAGGCTGCACAGTTAGACCTGATGCAACGTGTGCTGTTGCTGGTAATGGTGATGATGCATGATAACGTCGAGGTGACGTTTTAGGGAGTATCAGTGTTTTGACTGCAGCTATTTCAAACTGTAAATAGACTTTAAGAGCTGAGAGCTGCTTGACTATTGCAGCATGTCTTCACAAATTGTATACTCAAAGAATCCACTGAGTGTGAATAAATATGGTAGATCAGAAGAAAAAAAATTGTATGTGAAAATGTTGTGACTTTTTCATAACTGGGAACACGTCATGCATATCCACATAAAGAGAAGCTCCTGGCAAGGTGAGCTGGTCCTTAAAACACAGATATCGTGAAAGGTCAGAGGTAAGTCATACACAATTAATGAATAATTCAGAATTCATTGGTGCAGAAAACACGAACATGTGGGTTCATCGGTCGTTTTAGACAAAGCGATATGTTAAGTGATTGGTCCTGTTGTTAATAAACACAATACAACGATCTATAGTTCACTAAACTGCCTATAGGCTGTGTTATGTGACATATTTATTAATATTGTCCTGCAACTGTCCAAGTAGCAGCTGCTCACGCCAAAACAGCCAAATTGAGCTCCGTTGTTGTTGTTGTTGTTGACAGCAGCTAAGGCTGGGCCTGCTGTCAGAACAGAATTCGCACATCTGATTGGCCAACGTCATAGCCACAACTGATATATGAGCCAATCAGCCGTTGGTTTTCAAAGCCTCTACAGTTTTCAAATTAAAATACCTTTCACGTCTCATGGATGTTGAATACCTTATTCCTTACCTGTTCATTTAAACCAAAGACAGGACTTTGTTCAAACTTTTCTAAACAAAAATGTAAAAAGTGGAGATCAGTAGCTTATTTTTTATGAAAAAGGTTTTTAAAATCCGGTGGATTTAAAACAAAAAGAAATTCACATGCTCACAGACTTGTGAAATTTATATTTAACTAAAATAAAGTTCAAATTTTTAGGCATTTGTCTTTAGATTATTTTTTTTAAGATCGTGAGTTTTTCAATGCGCAATACATAATTAAATTGATTTTACATTTATTACAAACATTAGATATAAATATTAAATTATTATTCCATGTAAATTAAAATATGTTAATTTTAAATATAATATAAAGTATTCCAAAAAAATCTATTTGATTACAGTATACTTTCATGTTAAACAAAAGTCATGGACTTTTATTCTGTAAAATAGTGCGGTAGTCAGTCTTTCTGTCGCTTTTGTAGAGTTCAAACGGGAACTCTTTGCTGTTTTCTTCCTACAAACATTTTTCCTTTTTCTACATATATTATTATTATTATTCGTAAAACAGTCATGTCTCGGTTACTGTGTTTATCACGGGGTCTCATATGCACAAAATGTAAATGCAGTGCTCAGAAATCCGAGCCCTTTGTGTCTTTGTTGACACCCAGAGTGAAGTTCAGAGATCAGCTGATGAAGAGATTCATTTCGACACCCAGAAGACCAGTCATCCCCCCCTACAGCAACCGACACACGGCCTTGTGGCTGTTCGGCATCGGGACGGGCTTTGTTCTGGCTCTGGGCCTGAAATATCGTGATTCTGCCTCTGAACACTGTGAATGTAACGCACAGAAGACAGTCTCACAGTACACGGCTGCTATAGAGACCAGCAGAGACCTTCTGCGGCGGATAAAGGTACAGGTATCACGACCACACTAAATTTACTACTCGTAGCATACCATGTCTTTTATTTTTCATCATAGTTTTTAGTTGGTTGAACTAGCCGGATAACATTTCATTGTCAACAAGTTCTGCGATACTTTGGTATATATTTGTATTTATTATTAAGGTTTATTTATTTCAAAATCTGTAATATTGATGATATAATATTTATATTATATGAAAAGTAGTGCCGTCAAATCGATTCATCGCATCTAATATAAAAGTTTGTGTATATATTTATTCGTGTGTGTGTGTGTGTGTGTGTGTGCACTATAATATTTACAAACTTTTATGTTAGATTAATAATAATTAATACTTATTAATCAATCATTTGCGATTAATCGATTTGTCGGCACTAATAAAAACAGAATATTTTGATATTTACATATATATGTTTATGATTAAATATGTTATTAAATAATATTTTATTACTGAAAATTTTCTATTTATTACTAGTATGAGTATAATGTATTAAAAATATTCATTTGAAGTCAAATAATATTCATTTAAATCTATCTAAATGCGTATTTTTGATCTTATTGCAAATGATTCATTTTTTATTTTTTACCTCGTAATTTTTAATCAAATCAAGTCAATATAACTCCATCTTCTGGTGAAAGACAGACATCTCTAGCTTAACGTACGCCAGACGTCTCCAATCATTTATCCCGCATATACAATAACAAAATAATAAAAAAACGAATTAATTAATTAAGATGTACGTCGCAATATGGAAGAAAAGATCTTTTACTACTGACAAGCAATGTATTTATTTAATATTTGTATCTATAGTTATTAATTATATATATTTGAATGAATGTTTCATATATTATTAAACACATTTTATAAGTGAAAAAAGGATTATATATATATATATTAGTATTAATTTCAAAATGTTAAAGGTGATAGTGCGTAGTCCTGTTTTATATGCAAATCTGAGCTATTGGTGTTCTTTTATTTTATTGAATTGTGTTTTTAAGTGTTTTTTGTGTGAAAAAAGTTTATAGTGCAGAATGGTCTATAATTTTTCAGGATGAAGTTGGCGCTCCTGGGATGGTTATTGGAGTCTCGGTGGACGGCAGCCATGTTTGGTGTGAAGGTAGGAAGTCTTCCACTGCACATTTAGGTACGGTCCTGAAAAGGCTCATGGGTAATCTGCGCTACAGTGGGATTTACAGAAAGACGCACATACATATGCAAAGGCCACAAGTTTCCCATGTCTTTAGAAACCGAGGAGTGTTTCAGTGGCTCTGAAAGTGAACCCTAGCTGTGTGTGTTCTCTCTGAGGCGTTGGCTATGCAGATCTGGAGAACAGAGTGCCTTGTGGTCCGGAAACGGTGATGAGAATCGCCAGCATCAGTAAACCTCTGACTGCAGCGGCCGTCGCCAGACTCTGGGAGGAGGGCAAGATCGATCTCGATGCCCCTGTCCAAAAATACCTCCCCGAGTTCCCACACAAGCAATTCGAAGGAGAGAATGTGAGCACATCCATTTAAAAAGAGGTTTTTAATCACATTTATTTATTTAAAATATAATTCATGCAATTCAATACTAATTATATTTACGTAAATGTATGCTCGACTATACAGCGAGTACGTAATCATTTATTAAAAATGAATTTGGTTTTGGCTGAGCATTCTTCCCTTTGTCCTGAAACCAGGTCACGATAACCCCTCGGATGCTCCTGTCCCACTTGAGTGGCATCCGTCATTATGAAAAAGATGGCAAAAAAGTGAGAGAGGACAAGGAGAAAGCGAAACGCCTTCTGAAGCCCCCGGAGAAGAAAGAGGAGAAGGGCTCGGCTGAAAACAAAGAGAAGCCCAAAGCGGAGGACAGCGGCGCTAAAAGCAAAAAGAAGAAAAGGGAGTTTGAGCAGGAGGAGTATTACCTCAAAGACAACTTTGAGAACGTCATCCAGGCTTTGGACTTGTTCAAAGACGATCCTCTGATTTTTAAACCCGGTATGTTTTCATCCAACTCAGAACAGAGCGCTGTTAATGTGTTGGACATCTCCTGAAATGCCTGAAGATCTGACTTTAGATGATGATAGGTTTATTTTTAGAGCATCTTGCATTGAAACCTTCATCTTTTTAAAGGAATAGCATCTCATGTCATTCCAAACCTGACTGAGCAAATTCAAAATGTCTTCGGTGGACTTGACTACATTTACATGCACACTCATAATGCGATTGTAATGAGATTTAGGCAATTCTTCGATCAAATTGATGTGATTGAGCACATAATTGCAGTAAAATATGTGGTGCATGAAGATTTTAAAGTGCTCATATTGTTATTTTAAAGGTTCCTAGTGTTGTTTTAAAGGTCTACTACAACAGGTTTACATGCATCCTAGGTCAAACAACACTTATTGTTATAATTTTCTCATAATACATTGCAGCATCAGCTCTTTTTTCAGTCTCTGGTTTAGGGTTCAATAAAGGATTCAGTCTCTCTAAACCCCTCCTTTCTGGGAGCCTACTCTGCTCTGATTGGTCAGATGGCCCAGTCTGTTGGATTGGTCTACTCTGCTCTGATTGGTCAGATGGCCCAGTCTGTTGGATTGGTCTACTCTGCTCTGATTGGTCAGATGGCCCAGTCTGTTGCGATTGGTCTACTCTGCTCTGATTGGTCAGATGGCCCAGTCTGTTGTGATTGGTCTACTCTGCTCTGATTGGTCAGATGGCCCAGTCTGTTGGATTGGTCTACTCTGCTCTGATTGGTCAGATGGCCCAGTCTGTTGCGATTGGTCTACTCTGCTCTGATTGGTCAGATGGCCCAGTCTGTTGCGATTGGTCTACTCTGCTCTGATTGGTCAGATGGCCCAGTCTGTTGGATTGGTCTACTCTGCTCTGATTGGTCAGATGGCCCAGTCTGTTGCGATTGGTCTACTCTGCTCTGATTGGTCAGATGGCCCAGTCTGTTGCGATTGGTCTACTCTGCTCTGATTGGTCAGATGGCCCAGTCTGTTGGATTGGTCTACTCTGCTCTGATTGGTCAGAAGGCCCAGTCTGTTGGATTGGTCTACTCTGCTCTGATTGGTCAGATGACCCAGTCTGTTGTGATTGGTCTACTCTGCTCTGATTGGTCAGATGACCCAGTCTGTTGCGATTGGTCTACTCTGCTGTGATTGGTCAGATGGCCCAGTCTGTTGCGATTGGTCTACTCTGCTCTGATTGGTCAGATGGCCCAGTCTGTTGCGATTGGTCTACTCTGCTCTGATTGGTCAGATGGCCCCGTCTGTTGCGATTGGTCTACTCTGCTCTGATTGGTCAGATGGCCCAGTCTGTTGTGATTGGTCTACTCTGCTCTGATTGGTTAGATGGCCCAGTCTGTTGCGATTGGTCTACTCTGCTCTGATTGGTCAGATGGCCCAGTCTGTTGCGATTGGTCTACTCTGCTCTGATTGGTCAGATGGCCCAGTCTGTTGCGATTGGTCTACTCTGCTCTGATTGGTCAGATAGCCCAGTCTGTTGTGATTGGTCTACTCTGCTCTGATTGGTCAGATGGCCCAGTCTGTTGTGATTGGGTGAAACTACATTCACCAACAGCTGTATAACACTACATCACATTACTGGTGCACATGTAAACTTAGTCAATGTTGACTTCAGTTGTTGTATTTTGACCTTGTTTTATCTTACACTACCGCTGTAGGTTCTACATTCCTGTATTCCACGCACGCGTTCACTCTGCTGAGCGCCGTGATGGAGAGAGCAGCAGGGCAGCGCTTCCTCGACCACATGATGCAGATGTTTCGTGAGCTGGGCATGCTTAACACTGTACCAGACGAAAACGACCCAATCATATACAACCGCTCGAGGTAAAAGAGACATTACAATTCAAACACATGTGAATCTGCAGCTGTCAGGAGTTTACAAGTTGTAATTAAAGGTTCTGCGAGGACATGAACGCTTTTTACGAGTCGGAACCTCGTAATTACAGTAATTCCGACATGCTGTGAACGCACCTTTACTTAAAGTCCCGCTGTGGTGAAAATCAAGCTTTTAATGTTGTTTTATGTCTATGTGGTGTTTTTAATATGCTTTAAGAACTACCATGTGCAAATTCATTTGAACACACACCATTGCTGAGTATTTTCTCCTTAAATCTGCAGTGAACCAAAGACAGAATTTGTCTTTTTCTGTATGTTGTTTTGTATAAAAAATAGATACAAATTCTTTCCAAAAATGTACTTCTATTTATGAATTAATTATCCATTATAATTGTAATTAAAAATGACGTTTTTCCTTTATTTTATCTTTATATTTAAATATGTTTTGAAATCTTTTTTGAGAAAACGTATTCAAGGTGTAAGGAAAATATGTTGTTACTTTTTAATTGATGGTTTTATTAGATGTTATTATTAGTCAAAATCATTATAAAACCAACATTTGGATTTCATATGATAGCACCATGGATTTTAAACCAGATTTCTAAAGGATTTTTCCTCTTATCAGTCACTGACCTGTATCACATTCTTCCCTGTTTTCTGCAGATTCTACCACTTCAACAAAAGGCGCCGTGTTGTGAACTGCCCCTATGTGGACAATTCGTACAAATGGGCTGGAGGTGGATTTCTGTCCACTGTGAGTGACCTTCTAGTCTTCGGTAACGCTCTGCTCTACAGCTATCAGATGGCCGAAGCGAAGAACACAGACGGGCTGCTTCCTGGCTTCTTCAGACCCCACACAGCCAAAGCCATATGGGCACCGGTGGACAAAACAGAGGCATCGTGGGACAAAGACGGACTGTACGCCCAGGGCTGGCTGGTCGTGGAGAAACGGCAGAAATACGGGCAGTGCCGCAGCCGCAGACATTACGTCTCGCACACAGGGGGCGCTGTGGGGGCGAGTAGCGTCCTGCTGGTGTTGCCCAGAGAGCAGCGCACCAATCAGACGCTGCCTCCTCCACAGGGGGTGGTGGTGACCATCATCACTAACATGCAGTCAGTGGGGCTCAATACCACCGCGCTCAAGATTGCACAAACATTTGACAAGGCCAGGGACGGAGAAATCGCGTCTGCTTGACACACACACACACGGCACTGGTCCGTTTGTAGCCGCTTTGAGAGGTTTGTGGTGAACATCAGGATGCTTCTTTGTTTACAATGCTTCGGTTTTAAGTGAAGTTGTGCCGAGCGCTCATTTTGATAGCTTTTATATGTGATTGAATAAAAAAGTATCAATGAAACTTTGATGACGGCCTCTTTTCATTTTCCTTCCACATTCGGCATCAGCATGTCATGCTCACAATCTGGTGATTTATCACAATTATTAAAGGGTAGTTGGGTTGACAAGCAGTGCAGATTTCATGACCTTGTATTAAGTCTTCATGGAATATTTGTTCTTTTAAAAAAAAATAATTTGGAATAAGTGAAGTGCATAAAGTCAAAACCTGGTTAAAATGGTGTAAAACACTGATCGATTACTGTACCCAAAAACATTTTATTTTACACATTCATTCAAATTTTAACAAATAAAACATTTTATTTGTTATCCTAAAGGAATTATATAATTAAAGGAATTTCTATAATCATTTGAAAACAATCATAAAGGATATTAGTAGGAATTTTGTTCAGGATTCAAGCATGGAACAAAAACTAGTCTGGATTTTTAACTATTATGATTACTTGTAGGTATTTGTTAAACCAACAGTATCCTGTTTGATCAGAATCTTACTGATTGCAAAAGACTAATAATAATATTTATTTGTGTGTATAGATGGATATGAAACGCTATGCTCACTGGTCTCCACTAGATGGCAGCACTGTCATCGGTTCAGTTTCAAGTCTGAATAAACTTAAATTACTATAAATAAAACTATAAATTATTCCATTAGTAGAAAGAGCAGAGTATTTAAACTAAATTCATTCGATATTTGACTTTTGATATTGTCTCCTTTTTTTTTTTTTCCCAATTTACCAGTAGTCAGAAAACAACAAGCAGTCAAATAAAAAGTTACTTTAATAAGTTAAACAGATATTGGTGTGTATAAAAACAAGCAATGGATTTCTTATATATCTTTTAAATATCATTTTTATTCAATTCAGCTTCTTTTTTAACCCATTATAGTTTATGCCTATATAAGAAATTGTTTACATAGAATCTATAGTTATCAACAGTCAATATTAATTCCTCATATATAAAAAATCTTAATTTGTCACATACATGTTCAACTGGTAGCCTACAGCAGTTCAATCATTTACAGCTGTTTGTGGTTTTCCACTGATGTTACCAATTCACCAACATTCATTACAACATACTTCTAATAGTTGTTGTTATGTTTGCTGTTGTTATTGTTTTTGCTATTATTACTTTTATTATTGGTGTTTTTTTTTTTGCCATTAATTTTGTTGTTGTTATTTACATTTTGTTGTTGTTATTTAAATTTTGCTGTTGTTATTACTTTTGTTGTTTTTATTTTTGTAGTAGTTAAAATTTTTGTTGTTGTTATTAAGTTTTTTTTTATTTAAAAAACAACCACCGAGGCCCCGATGGCCAAACATTATTTTTTTAAGCACGAGGGCGAAGGCGCGCGGCAAAAATGACGTCATACTGGCGGCTTCACTTCTGACCAATGGAAGAGGGCGAAGGGGCGTCGTACATCTTTTTTTACAGTCTATCTATGGTCTAAGTTAGTTGCTTATATTTACAAAATGAGTCTACAAAAGCATAATAAGCTTTTTTCATTAACATAAATGTCCATGTTTAATAAAAATGTTCACGAAACTAAATTAAAATGTTTATTGAAATTATAACACGTCCATATATTTGAATCTAATGTCACAAGTAATATCCTCAAGGATTACTGGGTTTTGCACTATTCTTTAGCAGTGTGTTATTGGTGGTAACCCTAACCTAAAATAAACATCGAGGTCATGTGTGTAGCCTACCCCAGAGCCATGGCCTACCCTAATTCTTCTCGCCGGTGCGGTGAAGTGTTATAGATGTTACGCGACAGGCTGCCGTTGTGGCAGACGTTGCCATAGTTACATTCAGCAACAAAACTAACAGATAAATATATCTTAAAGCTGCAGTCGGCAAGTCTGGCAGATTGAGTGGACTTAGGCAAAATTTTGAATGTTTACAACTCTCATGCCCCTCCCCCACAATCAACGGATACCCTCCCACCGAGTTCGTGCTCGTCAGTGCGTGTGCACCAGGTTATCTGTGAACGCGCCCGTCTCATCAGCATCCATCAACACCATGGAGTATTTGGAGGTATGCTGCCCTGGCTAATCTACCGATAGATTCCAATTCGCCTTTGGCTAAGCCACGCCCTAGAATGTAGATTGACCAATCACAGCGCAGCCAAGAACGAGCTCCCACAGAGGTCCGACACTTTTTCACAGCGCTCCATTGACTTTAACACAGGCGTCTCATATTTTTGGTCTCGGCAGGCTATTACCGTCGTAGTTTTATCAAAAATATGGTTAAAAGTTGTGCCTGGGGCATTTGTAACACAGATACGCGTTTCCCAGAGAGGTTGGAGGGGGTGTCCGTTTTTTTCCCTTCCCAAACCGAAGTCAAACCCTGACAAGTGTCGTCTAGCACACGCTGCTAATAAATACAACGTTATACTCGCGTAGTCCGTTTGCTTTGTAATAACGATTATAGAAGTGAACAGAGACCTACCCAGCTTTGCATGAACAGTGTTGCTCCTTGATATTGTTAGTCCCAGCCTCCATCTCGATTAGTAGGATATGCGGTGGTTCATTTTTTGACTGCGACCGGTATGCTTTTGTCTCTATTTGGATGCCTTGTTGTTCCTTGCGTTTCACCTGTATGTCGTGAATATAGCCTTCGAACGTATATTGCAGCCGCTTTTGCCTACTTCTATCGGACACTTTATTTGCTGCTTTATAAAAGTTTGATAAAATTTCAGCAGGAAGAGCTGTCACAGCATAAGCCATGGTGATACCAGAGCCCAGATGAAGTTTGTTTGTCGGACGTAGCAACAGTAACTAAGGGGGGCGGGGCTTAGCCAAAGGCGAATTGCTAACGTCATTTATACTCTAAATTAGCTTACTTGATTTGTTAGTGTTTTGAAAGCGAGATACATCCACCATCACTTTTCGTTACAGCGCGAACTTCAGGCGTGTGCATGTGATTGTAACGTGCGCGAGGGGTGGCGTGTGCCCGATCTGTGATTGACAGTCAGATCTCACACCCCCCTGCGCTGATTGGACCCGATGATCCTGGAGCTGTGGATTTTTGCAAAACAAATAACACGCTCCAGGTGGAGTTAGAAGCTCGGGGTTTTTTTCTCTTTATTTTTGTTGTTCTGTCGGATTATAGTGTCGATATCACTGAATATGATCAGAAAAATGTTGCCGACGGCAGCTTTAACGGAATTTCTTGTGGTGGTGTCATTATTAATTATTGTCATTAATGATTTATCAATCAATTATAACAGGTGAAAGTATAAACAAGGCTTTAGATGTGTCTGGCTTGAAGTGGCGCTGCGCAGACGATCGGTGTGACATCAAAGTACCTCGAGAACAGAGAGCAAACAGCTCCGAATGCTTTCGAATCGCTCTTAAAGTCCCTGTAAAGGCAATTTAAAAAAAAAATTCTAAACACATTATAAATGTTAGAAATGTATTGCTAAAACATATTACAAAGACTGTGAACTGTGAAGTACTGAATTGTGGAGTTAGACCGTTAAACAGTTTTTCACCATTGATATTTTACGGATTTTCTGGGCGGGGCTAAAACAGGGCTCGATGACGCACTGGAGCCCTTGAGCTCCTGGACACGCCCCTACTTGATGACGCTCTGAGGCCACTGAGGCTGGCCGCTCCTAACAATATTATAGAGCACATTCACATCAGTTTGCCGCTCAATCGCGAGTTACTGTCAGTACTATTATTAGTAACAGCCTACAGATTGCTAGCTACTAGCTATGCCTTCGTCACGGAAATGCGTACTACCTGGATGCGATCACCGGATCACGTACAAAACAGATCGGTGTCCTTGTTTAAATTTCCGAAAAACGATTACATCAAGAAGTGGATTAATTTTGTGAAGAGCCACCTTGATGGAGAGCTGAGGATCACCGCCAAAACCCGCCTCTGTAAGTGATCATTTTACACTGGATAGTTTTATAAACTTTCGTCGGAGATAACTGTCTGGGATTCACTGATAATCCGCTGTTACTGGTGAATGGGGCCGAACCGACTCCCGCCTCAGCCTTCATCCTCCCGTCGCGCCGTTCGGCAGTGCGTGCATCCATTCCGGCTGTAGAGTTGAGTGAGGCGAGTCGACGACTGCAGCTTTCCCGCGAGTGGGCGTGGTTTCAGCGCAGCCAGTGGACACGCCCCCAGCGTTTGAGAGCAGAGATTACTGCTCATTTTTTCAAGATTTTGATAGCTTATTTTATGTACTTGCTGGCTTTTTTTATCATTCAAATTTGGCTGGGTGACTAATAACACATTTTTCTGTGGTGTGACAAACTCAAAACACATACTTAATTTTGACTTTACAGGGACTTTAATGTCACACACTGAACGATCTGCGCAGCGCCAGTTCCACTCAAACACACCTTTTCACTCCTGTCACAGAGTGGCGTTCACTGCAGAGCCAATGGGTGGAGGTTTCAAACCCTAAACCTAACTAATTTCAGCTCTACCCATTAGGTCCCCAGAGGTCTCTGTCCCACGTCCAACTCACCACAGCCAGGGAAGGGCGTGTCCTGCCTCCCTCCCGGACTCGCGTCGGCAACCACGAGTAGCTGAAGTGGACCCCATCCGACACCCACCTAGCGAAGCCTTCACTATTGATCTTCACTACTGAGACTGTGAGAGATATAAAGCAGCGTCTCGCTGTAGTAAGAGTGCTTCACCTGGTCAAAGGCGCTGAGGGAGTGAGGGCGCCACACCACCTGACGCCGTGGGTCATTCCCATAGATATGGTTTGGAGTGACACCTCCCACCACCACCCAGCACCGTCCAAAACAGCTATCCCGTGAGAAAGCACAACACAGAGACCCTCCATCACCCTCTGAGCAAACTCTTCTCGGTCTTCTGGTGATCTGCTATTGGTCTTCACTGCAGATATGAAGCAGTCTCTCAGAACGGGTGCTTCATCGGGCACTGTGGTGAGTGGAG